TATTATTAAAATATTTATATAAACATGTATATATTTATGATAAATGAAATTTTGGTATCTTTTTATTGTGAAGAGGACCCTGCCAACATATGCCATCTTGATGCGCATGTTTGGCTTGCAAACTTCATTTATGAGATGTAGATAGTAGCCAGGGACGTCAACAAAATGCTTCAACGCATTATCATTCCTCAGTTCACTCAGACTTCAGATGATACATTGGTTGAATAAATTGCTATAGGGTAAATTGGAAAATGTGATTAAAAAGGCTTGTTTAGGAGGAAAACAACTTAGAGATGAACACCGAAAAAAAAAGTGTTATGAGCGAAATTAATGCCGACATGACTCAAATGAAAGGAAAAAGGGAAGAAAAGAAAAATGGATAATATGGCAGGCAAAATAATTAAAAAGAACTTAAGTGCAATGAAGAAGATGGTTTGGAGTTAGAGAATCATTTCAATGAGGAAAATCAACTTAAACCAGACTTGCCAAAAAATGATGTGGTAAAAGAAAATGAGTATATTGTCATAGCCGATAAAAGTGAATGGTATACTGGAATTGTGTCCTCTGTGAATTCAAATAAAACTTTGGTTGTTAAGTTTATGTCAACGCCTAGAAAAGTGGGACATTTTTGTTGGCCTGCATATGAAGACGCTCAAACAGTAAAAAGAGACTGTAATAATATCAGTTCAACTTGATTTTTTTACCTTGACCTTTACATGTCAGTATTATTCCATTAATGCTTAACCCATTACTTCATATACACGCCTTTTAACGCCTTTTCCACCCCCCCACCCCCTTTTTGTTGTCTCAAATGATGAAAAAATGCCTTATTTAGGCCCCAAACACTTGTTTTTGTTTGAGAAATGTTGTTAAAAAAAGTGACCTCTTTTTCGGCGCGGCCCCCCAACCAAAAGATACATCAGGGGGTTGCCAGAAGGGGGATGTGCCCCCTTCTGTTTGGGGGGTTGGAAGGGGGGCGGAGTCCCCCTCATCGCCAAGAAAATTTTGGACTTGTGAGAGGCTGTAAATGACCCCAGACTGATCATAAGGTAACGTGTAACCAACGCTGAAAAGCATTTGACTCTATCTCAATCCATTGAGAAGTTGCAGCACTTTGAAATCAATTTTGATGGAAAAAATCAACGCAAAATAGTGATTTTTGGCAATTTTGAGATGTCCCCTCGTTGCCATGGTAACAGAAAATTTAAGCCTGAGCATGTTGTTGCAAGGGCAATGGTCCAGTCAACATTTGTGCCAAGTTTGATTAGTGTTGAAGCAGTTTTTATAGTATTATAGCAATTTGAACTTGTAACGGGAGACTTTTCAATGAAAACAGCCATTTTTCACAAAATGCTCATGAAGTAATGGGTTAAAAAAAAAGAAACATTACAGTCATGATGTCAAAAGTAAAGAATTGATTAAAAAAATAAGTGAAAATTAAAGGATTATTAAGCTATCATACAAAGTATATAGACACTTGTTTGAATAATGGAGGAATACCGCCGCCGCAAATGAATTGGGTCAGTACAAATGTGCCAGACGAATGGCAAAATCACACAAAATTAATCTTCAACAGCCCATTGTTGGAAAAAAGAAAAGAACAAAAGGTCAACTATCTCTTAATCTGGGTAGGAAAAAGAGGCAGAGAGGTCCGCCAAACATCGGGAGATATAACCGCTGAGGACAAGAAGAAATTAGAAACCTTCTACACAAGGTTTAGAAATTACGTCCAGCCAAAACTTAACCCAATATTTGCGAGATACAAATTTTACAAGGAAACACAGAGCTATAACAACTGCGACACTTTCCTGGCTTGTGTATGGATCAAGGTAAGAGACCGTCAATTTGGCCTGGCATGGCAAAACAAATCGCTAGCTACATTTCTCAATGTGCTGTTTGTCAAAAGCACAGATATTCAAATGCAAAAGAACTTTTGATGTCACATGACATACCGGACAGACCATGGCAAAACATTGCCGCTGACCTGTTCTCATTTGACAACAAGGACTATCTTGTCACTGTAGACTATAACAGTTGATACTTTGAAGTAGATGCTCTCCCAAATACTCAAAGTACTACTGTCATAAGACAACTTAAAGTCCATATGACCAGATACGGCATATGTGACAAACTTATCACAGATAACAGCCTGCCATTCTCTGCAGAAAATTTCTCAAATTTTGCAAGGGAATGGGGCAGCAATAGTCTCGCTGAAAAAACAGGGTCCATTGTCAAAAGAATATTCAAAAATTCACAGGAAGCCATAGAGATCCATATTTGTTGATTCTAGAGTATAGGAATGCACCCCTTGAAGTTGACTTTTCACCAAACCAACTATTAATGGCTAAGGAATAGCAACGACAGGCTGGGCGGGGCCAATTTTGACCTCAGGGGTTTTTTTTTGTTGTTTTTTTTAAAATAAATTCGTAGACACTCACTAGAAGATGCTTCATGCAACATATCTAAGCTCTACCTCTTTGTTTTTTTCAAATACTATATAAATATAAGGAAAATCAATGAGCCCCGTGGCAGGGGCCAATTTTGACCCAAGGGCTTTTATTTGAACAAACTTGGTAGACACCCATTAGAAGATGTTTCATGCTTACATATCTAAGTTCTAGCTATTTGGATTTTTTAAAAGAACATTTTTTAGTTTTTACTATAATTATGTAATAACGCAAATCATGGACCCTCCGGGATGGGGCCAATTTCCACCAAAGGGCTTTTATTTGAACAAACTTGGTAGACACTCACTAGAAGATTTTTCATGCCAAAAATCTAAGCTCTAGGTATTTGGGTTTTTTGAAAGAAGATTTTTTTTTAGTTTTTACTATATACATTTTAGTAAAATCAATGACCCCCCGGGGCAGAACCAATTTTGACACCAGTGCTTTTATTTGAACAAACTTTGTAGACACTAACTAGAAGATGTTTCATGCTTAATATCTAAGCTGTAGCTATTTGAGTTTTTTAAAAGAAGCCTTTTTTAAATTTTTACAATATACATAAAATCAAAATCAATGATCCCCAGGGCCGGGCCAATTTTGACCCCAGGGCTTTTATTTGAACAAACTTGGTAGACACTCTCTAGAAGATGTTTCATGCTTAATATCTTAGCTCTAGCTATTTGAGTTTTTTAAAAAAAGATTTTTTAAGTTTTAAGAATAAACATATACAGAAAATCAATGACCCCCTGAAACGGGACCAATTTTGACCCCAGGGCTTTTATTTGAACAAACTTTGTAGACACTCACTACAAGATGTTTCATGCCAAATATCCAAGCTCTAGCTCTTTGCATTTCTTAAAAGAAGATATTTGAAGTTTTTTCTTTCGGTGGCTATGGCAACCAGAGTTAAATTCTTTGAACAATTTTTGAAGGTGACTTAAGAAAGGAACATTCTTGTGAAATTTGGATGAAATTGGCCTAGTGGTTTAGGAAGAGATGTCACTTAAAGTAAAAATGTACGGACGGATGCCAGATGAAAAGCGATCACAAAAGCTCACCATGTCACTTTGTGGCAGGTGAGCTAAAAACCATGTAATGACATTGCATCATTCCAGTCTTTAGAGGACAGGAGTCGAGTGTTGGCTGTCAAAAACAATCTGAAGAACTGCAATCAGTATAGGGATGTATTAATTAATAAAGACTAATCATTGGAATAGAGGACAACCAAGAAAAATATGAACATGATTGTCAAGGCTCTTAGACAAAAAGGAAGTGATATTTCTCTCCATGGTAACCGCATCGAGGCGACTGTGGAGATAATGGCTCAAAGGAATCTAATCATGTCTTTGATGCTCGTCAGGGAAACGGTTCAGAAATGATGGTTTCAAGATCCATAAATCATAGTGGTAATGATGTTCAGTGGCACCCATAATAATGGTGCAGATGACAACAGAAATCCAAGTGGCACTCATAGGAATGGTGCAAATGACAACAGAAATCCTAGTGGCACTCATAGGAATGGTGCAAATGACAACAGAAATCCTAGTGGCAGCCATAGGAATGGTGCAGATGAAAACAGAAATCCAAGATTACTACAGATATCGAAGTGACACCTATAGTAATGGTTCTATTCAATCTAACAATACACATCAACAAAATTCAAATGACACTCCTAGGAGTGCAGACAGCTGTAATAATTGTCAGTGGTCAGGTGGTAAGGAAAGTGCTCATGCACATAGAAACAGTGGTCATCATGGTAACAGAGGTCAAGGTCAAGGTGGAAGAAGTCATGGTGGCCAGATAGAACAAGACTACAGAAAATAGGTCAACTCCTTTTCCTGTTTTAACAGTGACAATTACATTTTAAGTGAAGAATGTGTCAAATTTCTAAATTATGATATATTGGGCTCATGATACTGTTGAATATGATTAGTTTACTTGAAAACTATTCCAGAAACTTTCTTTGAATACAAATGATGTTATAAATTCTGTTCACATTACTGTATTAAACTTAGAACAAAGTTTGCAAAACCAAGCAGATATTGATGATGCTTTTTCTTATTTATGCAGTACACTGACAAAAAGAATATAGTAAATTATCATATAAAAGTACTAAGTTAAAAATGGTTTTTCTAATTATTTTTCAGAGAACTTGAGGGTTGGAAAACCTTGGTGGAACAATACTTAATCTTGTCTATGGAATTCTATGTGTGTAGCTGAAAGAAATTGGTTGAAAAATTGCAATGTACCGAATAAAAACCATTTAAAGGGTGTTTTCATTATGGCTAAGAAAGAATTTGACCGTGAAGTCCAAAAGTGTAAGCGTGCTTATCGGGTTTCTCTTCCGAATTAATTACTAACTGAATTTGAAACAAATGGTAATGAATTTTGGAAGAAAAGTATACCCATGGTGGTATGTGAGGATGGCTCAGTATCCAATAATCTTCATACTGTATTATCGAAATGGAAAGTTGATTTTAGTTGTTTATTTGTTAATATACAAACTGATATAGTTGTTGTCAATGATGAAAATGAATGCCAAACCTCTCATAGTTGTGATTGCTCAAATAAAAATATTACTATTTTTTGAAGTAGAAAAAAGCTATTAATAAAGCGAAGCATCAGAAAGCATGTGGTTTCAATGGAATCCCAGTTGACATTTTGAAGAATGAATGTGCATATTTTGTATTTATCCCTGTTCATCTGTTTTACTAAGTTCATTTAATGAATCTTCAGTAACACTAGAACTATCTTCATCCATGGCCTGTATCAACTGTTTACCAAGTTTGTTTGCTTTGCCACTTGTCGGCATTTTCATATTGTTTATATTCACTTCTTCACACACTAAATCAATATCATCATCATCATCATCATCATCACTGGAGGTGTCTGAATCTACACTGTCATCATCACTAATATAATCTGCCTCCATTAAAGCTAAATTCTGAAAAAGAAAAAGAAAAAAAATGAAAATTAAAAAAAATGTAAAAAGAAAAACTACAGTCGACAAAGAAAATGTCAGAAAAAAATTTAACATCATCTGTGATGTTTAACATCATCTGTGATGTTTTGTCAGTCTCTATTTTGTTGCTCAATCTATGGTATTATTATAGTCGTATATATATGGTGACAAAATTTAATGAAACTGAAATATATTTTCAAAAAAATCTATATAGCCAAATTGTAAGATAAAACCATAATCATACCATTTCTATATGAGGGGCATCTACGTCATCTATTTGTTCAATATCAGCACAATATTCCGGATCGGCTTCCAATCTTTTCTGTAATTCTTCATTGGCTGTTGCTAACTTGGGCAGAAAATTTCGCACCTGGCTCAATACTGTAAATACAAATGTATTCACAAAACTTAATCATCAATGATTACATGTAGAGTTCCATGAAAATACTTTTGTATCTTTCTTGCATAGTAAACAACTTTTGAGTTATAAAACAACATAATGGCATGAAGCTTAGTCACAAATCATATTTAAAAGTGCATTATTTTGAGCTCCATTGCAAATTTAGTTAGTGAGATTCTGGTGAAGTCCTCTCATAGACTATCATAGTAATGGGAAAGTCATGATTCAGAAACACAAAATATAATTTTTTATGATTCAAATATTAAAAAAAAAGAGTGTTGATTTTCTTACCTGAGCTTTGTACTGGTTTGAAATCTTTCCTCAGATCTTCAAGTGTCTTAATGTCTTTGTTCACTATTAGACTTGTATCTGCAAACAGAAAATAAACCTCTATAAATAATATAATTTTTTTCAGCAGGTCTAGGATTTAATGATATTTACGGACAAGACAGTCTGTAAATTTTTGGACAATGATTTCATTATCTGTAAATTTACAGACATTAATAATGAAAATAGTAGGAGGTGCATTAAAATTCAAAACCATAGGTTTAAATGAATAAGGTCAGAGTACTGGGATATTTATGAATCAAAATGAAAAATCGAGTATGAATATTCGTCAGTCCAGAGATCGTGGTTCGCGATCTTATTTGTTTACTACACAAATCGCCGTTTCTCACACTTTAAAGGTCGAAATAAAATAGAACTTGAGTATGAATTATGCGACATTTACTTTATTAAAATACAATTTGCCGATTAAAGACAGAAAGTCAACAAACATGTACAATGATGCAGAGCTAGGAAGTCATTAGTTTCATAAAAGGAATCATTTTATCTCTATTGAACACTCTGTTTTTACTTGAAAATTAATAAATATTTTTAGTACCTACTTATGTATAGATTTATAATAATATGACATGTATCAAAGACAGTTTTATTTAATATGTGAGTATGACGTCACACATCCTGTCTGCAACAATGGCTGAAAAGGAGTTGTGCCCATATAAAATTCCACTACCAATGTTTGGAAATACTTGTCTTTTAATGTGATAAGACAAGTTTGTTGTACCACAGGTATAATTCAGATCGCCGTGACATGTAAAAACAAATTGCTTTTTTCTCATTTTCAATTGAAATACCAAAGTATTTCCAAACAGTGGAAGTAAATTTTGCTGGTGGAATGTTATATTGGCGCCACTAGTTTTCAACCTTTAAACACTGTTTTTATTTGCATATATATTTAATGAAATTAATGTAAAGTATTGTTTAAAGAAAAATAAACATCATAAAGTTTTCAGAACTAATGTTCATGTTTTTATAGACCTTGTCTTGATAACAAAAGATTTGTGGTTCGATTTGTGAATCACAAGTGCTGAAGCGCGGATCGCCACTTATCCAGCGATCCACACCCCTACAGTACATGTATACAATTAAATGTAACAGTATGGTAAGATTCAGAACAATATGATGACTTTCAATTTTCACTTTTAACAAAAATTTAAAAATCATAAAAACAAAGAATAAAATCACCCCATTACCTTTGTAAATATAAACAATAAATTATAAAACAACTTGTCTTAAGTTAAGCTGCGGATATTGTGTCAAACTAAACAGCAAATTCACATTGTTCAAATATCTGTAAGATTATGGCTTGAAAAATCTTTGAATTTATAGACTATCTATAAATTTAAGGACAGTCCATAAATATCATCTTCAATTCTCAGAACATCAAAAAGGTAAACAGGTAAAGTAAAGGATCCTATCTCTTTTTTTACAATTTGAATAAGCAAATTAATGATTCTTAGCCGCCTTGTCTTTCTTACTAAAGAGCTAAAGGTGTGTAATGTGATTTTATAATATTCATCCTGAAACCCGCAGTGTACGGCTAAAATTTAGAAAATAATACCCACGTGTAAAATGTTATCTATAATCTGATAATGACTTAGTTTAAAATGTCCTCTGATGTATAACACTAAAATGTTGTATAAATTTTAGTCATTAAGACAAATGATAATTGAATGTCTAATTATACCTCTGACACCGGGATTGATATTCATTAGAATTTTAGAATTATTTGTTGCTTTTCCTTCCATGTTACTTTTAAAGTCGTCTATCAATCAATAAATACTAAAAGCGTGCAATTTATTATTGTTTATGGGCGCTGACATATTGGCACGGTCTAATATTTTACCGTAAAAGTATAAAGTCAGATTCCGTCTTGTCACTTGTCAGTGACTGCTTTCTAGGAAACACTGGAATTATTTGATCTTAGAATTACATATATTTTTTCAATAGATTTTAATTGTAACTATTTCCGAAAATATTTACATACTTATATTATGGGCAACAAAAGACGACAGCGACATTTTGTGATGCAGTCGTGAGAAGTTTAAAATATTTTGACATGTTGGCATCATCAAAACAACATTTCAAAAGTGATCTTTTCGGTAAACTTCTCGGTAAGCTACTTATGTATTCATTTTAATAAAATGTAAATATTATAAATTTTCTCATTTGGCCTACAAATGCCTTATGTTTCAAGATTTCCTCTTGCGTATATTTTGGAGAAATCATCATTTCGGATAGAATTCTTTTCGGATATAAATTCTATTAAACCATATAAAGCACGTGCTGCTCGTGCCAAAAAGGCATAATCGCATATCCCGGCATCTTTGTTAGATTAACTTCAATACAGCATGGTTTAAAAATCCAATGTAAATGATGTAAATTACTTATGAATAGTATAAAATTAATGCTTCTGAAAATGAATTGTATAATGTTTAGGTGATCTATTTGTTTGATATATTTAAATTTAATAGTACAGTAAATTACTGCATCATGTCTATTGTATATTAACTGTTAACATATCTGATCTTTTGTTTTTATGTTGGTTGTATCAGTATGCTGAAAATGTCTCTATGTTGTTTTGTTATTTTTTCAAATTACTATTAATAATTTACATGTAATTGCTATCAAAAGACAAATATTTGTTGTGAAAGAATTGTTAAAATCAAAATATCAAAACCAAGTATATTGAATATAAAGGTATTGGCACACTAGACTGTAGAAGTAAAAAGCTTTTGAAATAAAAAAATTGATTATAATTTTTGTGGACAAATATATTATGTGTCCTAGAAGTTAGACAAAGGGAAATAATTGTTTTGAAAATCTGAAAATAAAATCCAACTCAGTTTGAAGCATATTATTATTTTTTAAGAATAAATGAATACTACGAATTCACTTATATTCATGGGCATGAAATTTTGTGGTTTTATCAAAACTGGCATTTTCGTGGGTTCTTAAATTCATGGATTTTCAATTTCTTGTAAAAAAAAAATAATCTAATGCAAAGTAATCTTGTACTTAATCGCCGCGCATTTTACTTACAAAAATCGGCGGAAAAGTGCCGATGCATATTTGTTATATATAGAATAGAGACATGGCAAGAAGTATTTGTTGGGATAAAATTTCGTCGGATCTTAAATTCTTGGATTGACCTACCCATGAAAAACACAAAAATTTGTGTCCCACGAATAATAATGATTTTACAGTATTAAAACACAATTTGCGTCAGAATGTAATTCTGTTGAAAAATGTGTTAAAATGTCTTAGTACAACTTCACAAGGCATTCTGTACAGTAGCAGTTTACAGTTCACATATTTTACAACTGGTATAACCACACTTGGCAAAGCTTTCTTGATTTGGAATTAACTGTCCAAGAATTAGGAAAGAAAAGACCATTTGTTTTTGGTAGGAATGTGACATAGTTTCTGACATAAAATCAGCCAATATAACTGTTTGTTAATTTGTCTTGAATCTTAGAATATTGCCTTATTTGTTTAATTGATGAACGCTTGGACAACTTTCACTTAACTTAACTGCAAGAAAACTACTGTACCACTATTATAGCATAAAATCGGCTATTTTTCCCTCTTTTGCCCATGTTATAACGGGGCCAAAACCATGGGTTAACATAGTCACGCGCTCTTGTTATAGCCCGGTTTTACCTATGCGCAATACATACAGGGCCCAGTAAACAAACAAAAATGACGATTTGGCCTGTTTGCCAGAGTCATGCGCTCTTGTTATATTGGAATTATTAATTCGAGGGCCTCAGTCGCATAACGGCGAGCAGCATTCAAGTAATTACGCTGGCAATACGACGTATAGACATCACCGCTTATCTTGGTTGTTGCCCTTTCTTAGAAACGGACAGTTGTCAATGTAAACAAATATAATCTGTCATTCAGTTTAATCCCCCGATTAACTTACAAAAATGGAAAGCACAAAATGAATATAAGAAAACGTTGTTTTATTGACGTTTATATTGATAAATGTTCTGTATGTTTCTTTCAGAGAATAATGTTTTATGCCTGATTTTTTTTAAACTTGCGTGCTTAAAAAAAACGATTCTGAATTTGACTGACCTGATTAAATTACTGACCTGATTTCTTAGAAGGATATTAAAGTAAAAGGAATATACATACGGTATATAAAGCTTGCAGCTATTTGAAATAACAATGGAAGTAATCTCTTTAATAATAATAATATATATGTTTAGCTATCTTCATACATGTTATGTATTTTCAAGAGAAAGGAAAATTAAGTTTTATTAAAACCTCGTGGCTGAGTGGAATACAAAGGGTTTTGTTAAAAATCTTTTTTCAGAATGTTTAAAGTGTACTTTTTGATTCTGTAATTATATGTCTGAGTTTTATTTATTTTTTTGCGTGATATTATTTTTTTATCAGATTTAATTTGAAAAATTAGGACTTAAAATATTTTTTACATTAATGATTATACACTGGCATATTATATATACATGCATATCATATGTTTCCATTTTGTTGTTCAAACCGTTAAGTAAATTTATTTTATCCTGTTTCAGAATAATAGAGAATGTAAGTGATGTAGCATTGCTGTCTATTATGTCAAGGAAGGGAGACACATACCCCAACCTTCGTTCCCGTAAATCCAAAATGGTACCCTACGTTCATTCCCACGAATCCCCTATTTCAAGTGAAGACGAGACAGCTTTGATTCCTAAGCCAAATTATAGCAAAAAAACAAGTTATCATGGATCTGAAAGACGTAGTCAGCCTTCAGATAGAAGCAAAGGAACAAATGGTGAAGTGATCGGTGGTGATCTTGTTGATATTGATGACCGAGGCGGTGGTAGAAGAGATCGAGAAATTATAGAAGGTGATCTAGGAACTGGAACTCGTGTTAAAATGAGTAATGCAGCAGAAACCAATCTTGCTGGCACCATGGAAACGTGTTTCATAGAGAATGGAACAGATACTCAGCCACTGTTAGGAGGAAGTGATTCAGGTGATGATGGTGTAGAAATAGAAATAGTGGTGACAGAGGACACTGGTGAAACGTCTTTACAAATATGTCTACAGGTGACGCTGCCATACATTATTGCAGGGTTTGGAATGGTCCTTGCAGGAATTGTCCTAGATATTGTCCAGGTTGGTGATAAATAATTTTATTAAATTGTACCGCCAATTTTAGCATACTTATTATATATCATAAGGCATGCAAGAAAGTTGATAAAAAGAAATCTGAAAATATCAGCAAATTATTGTGTTTAAGACTATTGTAAGAGTAATATATTTTACATTGTAAGACATTTGAAAGACCTATATATGTAAGAGGTGAAGGTCATGAGGTCAAGGTCACGGCATCAGTACTCTATTATATGATGAAGAGCGCTGTTTCCGCTTCAACATTTGGCATGCATTTGCTTTTCATTTTATCTATTCATCTATTTTATTTACAAGTACAAATGTACACTTTAAGCAAACATGTATTTCATTAAATTTTCCAGCACTGGCCTGTATTTGTGGAAGTTTCGGAAATATTTGTACTAGTTCCTTCACTGCTAGGACTAAAGGGTAACCTGGAAATGACCCTTGCTTCAAGATTATCTACACAGGTACTATTTTTAATGTTGCTTTTTTAGCTCACCTTAGTTTCTATTTATAGCTCACCAGAAGTGAAAAGGAATAAGTTGTGATCTTTAAGCATAAGATTGATGTTTTTTGAAAGCTGTCAACAATGGTCTTTTCACAAAAGTTTTAATAATTTATAGTTAAATAGTAACATACATGTAAATGTGCCTCCTTTACTAGGAATGAGAAATTTGGTTTGTGGTACCTAATGTCAGGATTTTGTTTTAATAGGAGGATTAGCTATTAATAGCTACATTTGAAAAGGGAGCAGTAGCTTAGTGGTTAAGGTGGGTACCTCAGAAGACAGGGATAATTGATTCTCACCCAAATCATGTTCCTTATGAAACCGGTTACCTGGAAGTGGGTAACAAAAGTGATGAAAACAAGTTGCAACAACTTGTTTTGAAATCCAGCTGAAATAAAATTTAATACATGTATGTTTAAACTATGGCTATGAAAATTTAGATGAGTATGTTAGAATTATTTTTCATATTTCAGGCACATTTAGGTAACATGGATAAAAAGTCTGAAAAATGGAAAATGATAGGTGGAAACATGGCACTGATTCAGGTACATGATTTTAAATGTCAATAGATATCAAAAGAGCTAAGTAACCTTTTGTTTGCTGTATGTATTTAAGTGAGTGGAATTATCAGTTGTTTATTATAGGTCTTTAAGGTTTTAGATAACAAATCGTCACCTAATTGCAGTAATTTATTAACGCCTATAAAATTATATAAGGAGTTAACCTGTTACTGCACTAAGGTGACAAAATAAGAACAGTTAATAGAGTCTGATCAAATTGTGTTGATGTGCAGGTTTCATTTTTTTGCTGCCTGTATGCAGACAGTTTTTGTTTGTAAAATCCCTTAGCCATTTCCCGACAGATTTTGTTAAATTCAGCATTATTTTTTAAACAGTTTAAAAAAAAAATTTACTACTTTTTATGTCTGCATGCTTCAAGAATTTGACAAAAGAAATGAAAACATAGGGGAAGAGGAAGAGGATGTGCACAAATTATATCATTGGCATGTTAATTGAAATAGCCTGACCAAAAATACCATATCCATTCTGTGCATTTATGCTTTAATGCTTAAGGTCCTTTACCAAGTTTGACGGAAATGGCCGAAATATTGAGATAAGATTTATCATAGACTGGTACCATGCTTACTATTAACTCTTTTGTCTGTTTTCAGGCTCAGGCTATAGTTGTAGGGTTTCTAGCATCAGTGGTTGCCATGGTGATGGGCTGGATACCAGAAGGAAAGTTTAATGTTCACCACGGCCTCTTACTATGTGCTAGTAGTATGTGTACTGCAGCTGTTGCCAGTTTCGTTCTTGGTAAGGAAAATAATAATTTCAGGAGAGTGGTAGTTAACATAACAGTAGCTGAAAATTCATTATTGTTTATTTGGTATTTGAATAGAACACTGTTGAATAGTCATAGACAGCAGTTCACAAATGAGAAGTGTGTGTGTACAAAACATAATTGAGCCGTGTCACGACAATACCACCATAATGGGTTTGCGGCCAGCATGGATCCAGACCAGCCAGGACATCAGCGCAGTCTGATCAGGATCCATGCTGTTCGCTATCAGTTTCTTTACATGTAATAGGGTTGGTAAGCGAACAGCATGGATCCTGAACAGACTGCGCGGATGCCCATGCTGGTCTGGATCCATGCTGGTCGCAAACCCATTATGTTGGTTTTGTCATGATGCGGCTCATATATAAAAGATTTGAATAAAGTAATACAAGTTCTATTCAATGCATCTGTTTCAGTTCTCATATTGAAGTGGCATCTGAAGTTTATAGACATAATTTTCTGTATTGACCAGGTTGTTCAACAGCCTGTACATATAAGTGTAAATCTACATAGGATTTACCTAATAAATATCATGTGGACAAGGAAAGAAATGCTTCAGATAAAACAGAAAAGTATGTCAAAATCAGATTATGTTAGCCCTGCTGACGATGACCAGTAGTATTGAAAACTCTTCATTAGACTTTACCAGTGTTTGTTTGACATTTTAAACATTGGCACTTAAACAGTGATTTTTATTATGTTCTCTAATTTTGAGTTATATTTACAGGTGCTATAATGGTGGGAGTGGTTTTATTATCAAGGCGGTGCAATATAAACCCTGACAATGTAGCCACGCCCATAGCAGCAAGTCTTGGTGACCTCACTACTCTAGCGTTGTTATCTGGAGTGGCTTGTTTATTATATAAATCTATAAGTAAGTTTGCGTTAGATGAAATTACCATATTTACATTATGTATGTATGAATTATAAAAGTTAGATTTTTGTAGTCAAGCTTGTGTGAATTTTAGTTTATGACCTGTCTACACCTGTCAGTCTTTCTAAATTTGAAATTCACATTTTATGTGAACTTTTAATGTACAAAGTTGAAATTGATCTTCAAAATACATACTTGTATCTTATGCTTTTTGGAACTGTCTTAAAATGTATTTGTGTTTAAACTTTGCAGTACACATTTAAAAGTACACATTATTATAATGTCTCTTTGTAGTACATGTTTGTATTTGATCTTTGTGGTAAACTGAATTTGAGATGAAATGGCTGTATGTTCAACAATCTAAATATTTTTGTCCTTAATATTTTTAAAACAATTTTAATTTTACATTTAACAAAATCTGAAATATACATGTAGTTTCTCTTGTAAATTTTTTGTACATGATATTTATATATTTAGTTTTGAATGTTTTTGTTTTTTTTCCATAAAATAAAATGCCATGATAACTGTGTTGTCTTATTTTAATCATTTCTATTTTTAGATACTCAACCTTGGTTAGCCCCTGTGATGGTGGTTTTATTTATTTTATTGACACCCCTGTGGATCTATATATCTCTACACAACCATTATACAAACCATGTTATTTACTATGGCTGGGTACCAGTACTTAGTGCAATGGTTATAAGCAGGTAGGTTTTGTTTGTTTGTTTGTTTCATTTTATGCCTTTTCCCAACAGTATTTCAGTCATATAGGCGGGTTGTTTCCTAACCATCGTTCCTGGAGAGTTACACCAGTACTAGACTACCTTCCTCCGTGCTACCAAAGCATTTCCCAGGGATCGAACCCACCCAGAGAGGTAACTGGATAAGAAGTCATTGACTAACCCCTCGACAACGGAGGCGGGTAGAAAACTCAAAGATACATTTTGCTTTAGTGTGTCTAACAATCGTGGATTAAGGTGATTTTATTTTGGCATGATTTGAATTGGTTTTTACCCATTCGTTGCCTTCAAATGTATGTATACCTCATTTGCTGACATTATCTTCGTTTTCCTTTGAAAAGAATTCATTGAGCCCTGTGTGTTTGAGATATCACTCAAATAAGAACCTAAGGTTTTTACTCCATCAGGAAAGTTTGGAAGTTGCCATATGACCATTACCGTTTGGTTGATTTTCAGTGTAGAAGGGTTACTTTTACACTTCACAGTATAGCTATGTGTAAAGTCCATAATTTCTAAAAAAATAATAAAAAAAACATGCTATTATTTTTTAAATGTAAAATCTTTTTCTTTAAAGTGTCATGTTAAACTTTCAAAGAGTGACTCTATGGCCATATACTTGAGCCATCTTTTACTACTTTTGCAGTTTGGCAATTAGTACATTTACAGTGATTTGGTATTTTGTATGGATGTCAAAATACCACTGTATGTTTACATTTTCATAAAAAAGTCCCTTAACCCAAATATTTTACATTGGCACTTTTTTCTTCGTTAAAAATCTAAACCAAAAATCCATTTTTACAACAAAAATGCAAAATTTTAATTTTTTCTATAAAAAATAAAAAAAAATTTTATTCTTTTTTTAAGGGGCTTTTTTGTTTTTTAAAGGGTAAACCTTTTAGATATAAATGGAGACTCTCTTTTTGTTTTTTCAGTTGGGGGTTTTAATTTTAGTTTTTAACGGGCTAATTCCCAGGCTTTGCTTTTTTTTCAACCTGGTTTAAAGGTAATTACATTTTTTATTTTTTTGGATAAAAATGACCTTGGGAAATTAATAAATACAAAAAACCCTTTTTTAGGGTATTGACTTGGGAAAAACGGGTTTTTTACTGACAACAGCCTAGGGAAATTTTACAACACTATACTGTTAAACTAATTTAATTTTTTAGTACGAAAAACCCATCCCAAACACTGTTCAAAAATTCGATTGGGAAAATCTAATGATAAAACAAAAATTTTCCCTCCCCTAAAGGGCTTTTTCAGACATAAAAAATTTTACTTTAAAAAAAGGCGCAAAGGTAGTAGTTAAATTTAAACCATTGAATTTTAAAGTTAAGAAAAAAATTTGTGCACCAGCAAAAGCTTGGGGGGCGTTTTCTGTGAAGCCCAACCGGGACCAAGGGATAGGCTGCAGAATTTTTTTGCATTTTAAAGTATTTTGATTTTGAAATCCCTTTAAGAACAAACTTACACAAAGATGGACTGCTCTAGATTCAAAGCTCATTGAAAGTTCATTGAAAGAAATACTTAACAGGTATAGGGTTAAGTAATCAAAGCTGTGTTTGATAAGTTCTTTGTTCTTTTTATTTTGGAGTTCAGTTTTATAGGAAGTAACTTTGCTGACAATGGATTTCCAATAGGAGGGTCCATGGTAAAATGATTACTGACTTCCAGTTACTTGCCCTTAAAACACACCAATTTAAAACCCCTCCAAAAATCATCAAAAGAAATTAAAAATTTTCAAAAAAAAAATAAAGTAACCACATCTTTGGATTTGCTCTTTTTCACACATCTTTCATACAAAAAAGTAAAAAAGGGTTTAATAAGAAAAAAGTTTTTAAAAAATTTTTTTTAACCCATTAGTTTAAAATTTTGATGTAAAGAAAAATTGGCCTTAGCTTTTATAAAAAAGTTTAATAGCAAAAGTTTGATGGCAGATAAACTAATTACATTTCAAATTTGGAGGGGAAAATAAAAAGTTTGCATATCCCTTTTGTAAGCACGTTTTTTTCCCTGTCAAGATAACAAAGATTTTTTATATTTGATTAGCTTTATTTTATACAGCAAGATTTGGGGGCTTTTTTGACCCTGCAACAAAATAAACATAAGGGTTTTTGCGCCAGCATTGATCAACCACCCGCATCCGCGCAGTTGGGAATCCATCTTTTCGCACTTTTCCTACTTGATATTTTTTTGAACGAACACAGGGATCCTTCAGACGCGCAACCGGGCGGGTCGGGCCCACGGCCCCCAAAACGCATTAGGGTTTTTTTGTAAATGACAGGCCATTTCTTAAAAAAATTGATCTGATAGAAGTTTTTGTATGAAGGTATATGTGCAGTGTTGACGAGCCTTTGTATAAATTGAATAAAAAGCTTTTGATGAAATTAACAGACTATAAAATTTTTAAATTTTTCCCTATAAATTGGTTTATTTCATAAGGAAAATTATTATTGAACCCTTTTGAAATGAAAAAAATTTAACATCACAAAAGTAAGGAGGTTTTTATATAGGGAGGTATCATTATTGAATTTTTTTTTTCTAAATAAAATTAAAATGTAATTTAATGCTTACTAGCTAAATTTAAATGGACCTTACCCATCTTTTAATATGGACATAACCATTAGGCAATTCAATGGGGTGGGGATTTAAAATATGTAATGATTGAAATGGCAAACTGTATAGACCATAATCAGATAGAACAGATGTGCAGTTGACATGGGTTAAATTTTGTTGCCACACGCTTAAGTTAAGAATTAAAAACTGTATACAGGTAACCCCGTTACAAGTGGCCGCTCTGTAGTAGCAATTACCTCTTTTAAACAACTTCATGAAATCTCCAAAAACTGAGAATTAAAAAACAATCCAATTAAGCCCTGAAATAAGGTAAAAAGTCTAAAAATAAAAATTTGAATTTCTTACATGTATCAACTGATCAACTGCTATTTAACACAGAATATTGGCAAAGGATAAGTAAGACATGTATATTCAGAAATAAATTGAAAATCATATTTTGTGTTATTCTTAGCCCGTTTGGAGAGAAAAGTGATTCAAAGCATTTCAAGTTTGGGTCAATTTTCACACTTAGAATAATTATTCTGTAAAATTGAAGTTAGCAAATGATATAAAATTTAGCACACAAGTTATTGGTCTAGAATACATCAAATGGAACATTAATCACAAAAAATTATTTCAAGTCCTGTCAAGTCACAAAACCTCAGTGGAGTCCCTTAAACACTGAATTTACCCTGACTAGAGCAACATCTCTCTAAACAACAGTCGAATCATTTGCCCCCTTCCCAAAGGGTGTTGCTTTGCAGAGACTTACTGTATTCTTACAGCAGAGATATTGGTAATCTCAACTGGTTTGTATTTATAAAAAAAAACGACAGCAAATTGCCAGTTCAGTAGGGATATTGTATGGACCTGCTGTTTTGTGAGTTTGAGTCCTGTTTGCAACACATATTTTTCACCCATTTGGGGTTTTGCCAATAGGGGAATTGTTGTTTCTTTAAAACCCCCTTCCTTGGCAAGGGCATACTCTTTCCCAAAATTAAATTTTTTTTTGCCTTTTTGCCATTTTTTTTGAAAGATTTTTTTGGAAAAGTGTAGTAATTTGGGGGAAAAATTTATGAATACTTTGGGAGTACCAAAATAATTTGTAATAAGCCAACCTGAAAAGACTTTAAATTTTTAACCCAAATTTTAAAGAAAATTTCCAATACAACAAATAATTTGAATTAAAAAAAAAGAAAAAACAATTTCTAGCAGGGGATAAATAAAAATGAATTGAACATTTTTTTAAACCCCAAACAGAAAATTTTAAAAATTTATTAAGGGTTAAAATATAAATATCCCGTTTTATTTTGATTTATGGAATACTAACATGAATAAAATTTTTTTTCCGGGGGAGGAAAATTTTAGTGCCAGGGAAGCCGTATTCCCTCATTACATCGGTAACCAGACCCCGCAAAATGCAATAATGCATTTAAAAGGCTCCCTAATTTAATGCCCTTTTGGGGAAAAAGTAATTTTTATTTTTTGAAAGAAAAAGTGTTTGTTTGAATGAAAAGGTTTTTTTTTCAGTGGGCTGTCATTTACAAAACTGTTGGTTTCATTATGACAAAATCAGGATCAGGGCCTTATAAAATAATTGAAAAAAAATGTAAAAAAAAACCTTTTCAAAAATTTATTTTTAAAATTTTTTAAAAAAAAGAGCCTATTCCTAAAATTTAGGGGCAATCATTAGTATTGCCAAGAAGAGATTATTGAATTTTTATTATTTAAAAACGAATACAAATTTTTCCAAAAATGCTTTATTTTCATATATTTTTCCATAAAGCCCCCTGTTACATGGTAGGAAATGATTGTCACTTTGAAAACAGAGTGATAAAGGAAGAGGAAAATGTATATATTGTTTAACATATTTTTTTTTTCCAGATATAAATGCAAGAGCTACGCGTGTTTTATTGGGCCTAGTCATTCCCGGTCACCTGATATTTATGTATACCATCTCGTTCATGAAAGCTGGTCATACCAGTATAACACTTATATTCTCCATCATGTATTTATCTGCAGCAGTCCTACAGGTAAGGTTTTATACCACCTAGCATCATTTTTTTTTTTTGCACCAGTTTTGATTTCAGTAGCTTTTATTCATGAAAAAGAGGTTCCCGTATGGTTGTAATTGACCTCAGTGATGTAATAATTATGTTGCAATCTACCTAGTTGTACTTGTTAAAGGAGACCCCAAGTTACCAGGTGGAATTTGTGTGTCTGAATAATTTTTGATAAAATTTTTTTTTTAAAATTAACTTTATGAAGTTTTTTTAAAAAAGATTTCTTAATTGGGGGAAAAAAATTTTTTTCGATAATAAATTTGGCGTGAGGTATTTAGAATGGGACGTGGCACAGGTTTCAGAATGTGTTTTTTAATTGAATTTTTATTTTCAGGTTTGTCTTTTTTCATTGCAACTGGGTGGGTTTATT